TTTTCTTTTTAATTTATACACATTAAATATTACATATGTATGTAATAAGATGTGTATTTCCATTACAGGTTTAGGTCTTACATTTCATATAAAGTGGTATTAAAAAGGTCTTAAAGTCTTGAATCTAACTTGTTCAAGTCTGCAGAAACCCTGGTTATGCAAATCTTCCCACATCGTGACGTAGACATGTGGGGGCGTGTTAGAACGAGCTGTTTTAGGTAGGCATGGTTGACTCTTAACTTTTATAAAGAATATTTCTTTGGATTTGAGACTTTAGTCTTTGCAACTTTACAGATCTTCTTTATGCACCAAGAGCTTGTAACAATCCAAAGAGAAAGGAAAAATTGAAATCGCATCATATGACCCCTTTAATCTGACTGGTAGCAGCCCTATAGTGTATATTGAATTTATTGATAAATTGTAATAATTTGACATGTAAGATGATGCATCCATCTAAAAAGGTTAAAAATAGGCCTTTGTAAAAGTAAATATGCAGATTTAAGTATGTAAAAGCTGATAAAACACTGATGAAAATATTGCTTCAGAATAAATAGTTTACTCCACCAAAAATCTCAGTGATGCAGTTATTTTGTGGGGATATTTTGTATGGAATATTGTCTGCTGACATGAAAAGTTCACTGTATATCGTAGTAATAAATACCATTTATTACAGCAATGATATTTTGTTTTCTTTTTAATTTATACACATTAAATATTACATATATGTATGTAGTAAAATGTGTATTTCCATTACAGGCGTAGGTCTTAAATTTCATATAAGGTGGTATTAAAAAGGTCTTAAAAAATCTTAAATTTAACTTGTTCAAGTCTGCAGAAACCCTGTAAGCTGCTTTGAGATTTTATGGTTCAGATCCAGAGCTGTTTTAAATGTCCCTCTCTCAGCTGGAGGATTAACTGTTAACTTACCATTACGGTTATGATGCCTGAATCTCTAACAGACCAAAGGGCACAGGGCCAGTCACTCGCTCTGAGACACAAATTAAGAGAACAGCTGAAGTTGTAGTGAGGTTTCCTTTGAGTTGTCAAAGCAGAAATTAACTTTCTGGCCAGATGGCAACCACAGAGCTCTATACAAAGGTAAGTGCCTTTAATAATTTTTTATATATATTTTTTTGTAATTTCATTGGATGCCATTAACGATAGATAGATAGATAGATAGATAGATAGATAGATAGATAGATAGATAGATAGATAGATAGATAGATGATAGATAGATAGATAGATGATAGATAGATAGATAGATAGATAGACAGATAGATAGATAGGTAGATGATAGATAGATAGACAGATAGATGGATTGATAGATAGATAGATAGATAGATAGATAGATAGATAGATAGATAGATAGAAATAAAGTCTGGTTTTGTTTAGTGTGCATCTGCATCCGTATTATTTTCACTGTCAGAGGAGACCGGCTGATGTTAATATTTAATGGTGCAGTGAGTGTATTTATGCTGATGGAGGAGAAAGAGTGTCATTGGGGTGGGACAGACAATTGCTCAGGCACATGAGCCGGTTGTGTAACATACAAAATATTGAATCAATTTCCTTGGTATCCATATTTTGAGACATAATCATAATCAAGCCTGTAGACTGTCATGTCCAATCTTGCTCATAGAAGGCTGCCTTCCTGCACAGTTTAGTTCCAGCACACCTGCCATGGACTTTTTAGTAGTCCTGAAGTTATTGAATAGCTAGTTCAGGTGCAGGAAGCACACCATACCAATTCATTCCTGAATTGTTGTTGAAATCCAACTGAATGATGAGCCAGTATGTTTCAGTTTTCAGGCCTACACTTGAAATTTGAAGGTTTGGGTAATATTAATTAGCATTGTAACGAGAAATAAGGATCACCTACAAAAAAAAACAAAAAACAAAAAAAACATCATTTGGACTTGCCACAAACTGCCACATACTGTTGATTATGATCAGTATGAAAATAGTTACTGTTTCTGTTGTCTCTCAGGGGGCATGTGTGTGGGTGCCAGACCCAGAAGCTGTGTGGGTGTCTGCCCAGCTGCTTCAAAACTATCGGCCTGGAGACCAGCACATACTAATCCAACTCACTGATGGCAGAGTAAGACACTTACACACATATGATTCTGATATGAAACCATGAGCCTTTCAGAATGAACATGTTCCACTAACCACTAATCAAAAAGTGTTCAAAACTTTCTAAACACAACGTTTTTCCTAATTTTCAGCAGTATTTTATTTATATAGCAGTATCATATTTACATACTTTATATAGTTATAAACCATTTATATGCTATTTTATTATTTTTAAATAAGGAGATGGAGTATCCAGTATTGCCTCCGGCAGGTCTTCCCCCTCTAGGTAACCCTGATATTTTGGAAGGAGGGAATGACCTCACGGCTCTAACCTTCCTCCATGAGCCAGCGGTACTTCACAACTTGCGAGTGCGCTTTCTCGACTACAGTAGCATTTACACCTACTGCGGTGAGCAAAATTCAATAGAAAATAGTGGCAGGTTGTTACAGCCATTGCCCAATAACCTCTATTTTACTGGGTGTAAAGTTCAAAACACAGAGATTCAAAAAACATTACCCATTGTTATATTGGCTACTGTAAAGAACTTTAACCAAGCACTGGGTTTATTGAGATGTGAATTACGCATAGAAAATGATGGCCTTTTATATTTTTTAAGTAGATTAATTTCACTTTTAATTTCAGAGACACATTCATCTCATTTAGAAAACTTTCTCATACTTTAATAGGGATTGTGTTGGTGGCATTAAATCCATATGAACAGTTGCCCATCTATGGAGAAGAGGTGATTGATGCTTACAGCGGTCAAGACATGGCTGATATGGAGCCACACATCTTTTCTGTGGCTGAAGAGGCGTACCGAACTATGATCAGGTCAATAGCAAGCAAATAACAAGAACAGTTCGCTTACAAAAAAAAGTACTGTTTTTGGACATGGACCATGGTAATACCATGGTATTCTGAGAATTACCTTGCAGTATTATTGAAATATTAGGTATATATCAAAGTACCACTGCATTACCCTCTTATACCATCACTTTACCATGGTAGTACACAGTAGGGAAATTCATTCTGAAACTGTATTACATTACCTTAACCAAAACATATGGTTTTATTAATCATAATTATATGTACAGAGAGGAGAAAAACCAATCCATCATAATCAGTGGAGAATCAGGCTCAGGTAAGACTGTATCTGCTAAGTTCACCATGCGTTACTTCGCTGTCGTGGGTGGTGCGGCCCAGCAGACCAGTGTGGAGGAGAAAGTTCTGGCATCCAATCCCATCATGGAGGTACTGAAACTTGATTTCTGACCTTTTTGGTAAAGTAGGAGGAGGCTATTTGTAACATGTTGTCATTTTAACCCTTGCA